AAACAATACATATGGACAATATGTCATGTCCCAGTAGCTTCAGCAGCACAGAGGCCTCAAGAACTCTGCAGTCCAACAGCATCATATGCCAGTGTACATCCTTGAAAAGGAAGCTGATACCCTCTAAAACAGTCATGTGGTACTTATGCAGCCACTAAACCTCTGCCCTCCCAAGTCTGTGACTTTGCCCTATGGAATCAGATGTTTTACAGAGATGCTGTGGAGAGAATTGAATCTACGCAGTATCTCCCTAAGGTTTAGGTCACTGACCAGGAAGACAGCATGGTTTCCAGAGGTAAGGGTGTACATCTCTCTGGATGTAAGTCCACTAAGGAGAGACTGAATAGACCAACCCACCTGAAGACATTTTCTGGCCGACGACTCTGAAACAAACCTGTCAGTCAAGAACCTGGGATCTTGGTCTCTCACCTTTGCCAACTAGTAGGAGGAAAGATCCCTAACCCAGTAAAATTGGACTCATAACTACTGACTTCCTCTCCGCCCACCACCCCAAAAAGTAAAAAGATAAAATAACCTAGCCAAGATTCCTCCAGTCTAACCCTGTATTTCCCATTTTCCCCACTGGCTAAGTATAATTCGGCTCCCTGTCTCCTGAACTCCTGATGGTGAACTCCTTGATCCTAAATGTCCTTCTGACTGAAAATTACTTTGCTCTATGAGTGATTTTTATTAGCAGGCCAAAGACTAGGATGAATTTTTTCACAATGGACTACTGTTCAGTGGAAACTGACCTAAGCAATTCTTTCATCATCACACACTCTTTTGAGATAAGGGAAGTAACTGATTGCTTTTCTAGACTTTGTGCCTACCAGTCAAGCTGAATTACTTACTCCTCCCCTCCCCCACATACACACACAAGTGAGGAACAGAGCTGCTTTTGGATAGACATATGAATGCGATATTGTGGAAATATAAAATAATCTTCTTTCCCAAACACTCACAAAATCAGCCAAAGAAATAGGATCAACTAGGAGAAATGTGTCATTAATAGTATAGATGGGCCTAACCAAGTCCTTTAGCTAAACACCCTCTGACATGGAAGAAATCTAGACCTAAAGAGTACAGGCCCATCTTTAACTCATTTCAAATTCTCACTTGTTTTTACTGACAATATTATTCTATATTCAGAGAAGACCCCCACAAGAGAAAGAAATGTATGTATAGCTAGCTAGCCTCGGTGGTTTTCAAAGTGTAAAACATAGAATCATAGAAACATAGGACTGGCAAAGACCTCAAGAAGTCATCAAGTCCAGCCCCCCTGTGCTGTGGCAGGACCAAGTAAACTGAGAACATCCCTGATGGGTGTTTGTCCAACTTGTTTTTAAAAGCTTCCAATGATGGGGACTCCACAATCACCTTTGTAAGCCTATTCCAAAGCATAACTACCATTACAGTTAGAAAGTTTTTCCTAATAGCTAACCTTGCTGCAGATTAAGCCCACTATTTCTTGTCCTACCTTCAGTGGACATGGGGAACAATTGGTCACCATCCTCTTTATAAAAGCCCTTAACATAATGGAAGACTTATTAGGTTGCCCCTCAGTCTTCTTTTGTCAATACTACACTTTCCCAGTATTTTCAACCTTTCCTCATAGGCCAAGTGTTCTAAACCTTTTATTATTTTTGCTGCTCTCCTCTGGACTCTCTGCAATTTGTCCACATCTTTCCTAAACTGTGGTGCCCAGAATTGGACACACTACTCTATCTGGGGCCTCACCAGTGTCAGGTGGAGCAGGACAATTATCTTCTGTGTCTTACATACAACATTCCCATTAATACACCCCAGAATCATATTTGCCTTTTTAGAAGTTGGAGCACATTGATGACTCATTTAATTTGTGGTTGACTATGACCCCCAGATCCTTACAGCAGTAGTACCACCTAGACAGTCATTCTCCTTTTAGTAGCTGTGCATTTGACTCTTCCTTCCTAAGTGAAGTATTCTGCACTTGTCTTTATTGAATTTCATCTTGTTGAATTCAGACCAATTCTCTAATTTGTCAAGGCCATTTTGAATTTTAAACCTGTCCTCCCAAGTGCTTCCAACCCCTCTCAGCTTGGTGTCATCTGCATTTTTTATAAGCACACTCTCTACTCCAAGTCATTAATGAAAATATTGAACAGGACCCAGGATTGACCCCCTCTAATACCCCACTAGATACACCCTCCAAATTTGACAGCAAACATCACCATTTGACATTTAGCTTAACTGCTTAATTTAACTTAAGAATTTCCCAAAGGGCATTAAGAGAGCTAGAACCCAACTCCAGTTGATTTACACTGGGAGTTGGACACCCAGCTTCATTAAGCCTCTTTGAAAATTCCAGCCCTAACATATTTTAATTTGATGTGTCATTGCCAAAAATATTTAGCAGAATAAAATTTTAATATTAAATTGCATTTCATTTTTTTCAGAACAAACTACAATATAAGTCTCCACTGAACACTATACAATGAAGGCTATGTAAATATAAGTTCCATGAAGAAAGTTGCTTTTTTAGACATACAGTAGGGGCTTCAAATCTGCCCTTAATTACATCTTTGCAACCCCTCTGTTGTCAGCCAGCCTGTAGGGTGAAACTAAGGGCATATTTGGGGCCACAGTATTTGACATATTGTGAACACACAACAATAATAATTTATTTAAAGAATTAGGATGGAACATCATGAACACTTTAAATCCATCCAAAACTGGCAAGAAGAATGTGACATTTTCCTTCAAATATAGACCTTACTAGAGTCATCCCTGCCTTTGTCACTATTGTAGTGTGCTCTACATGGGGCCACATCATGAGAACATTCTAAAATTGAAGTTAATAGGCAGGTGGCCATCTTCTGCATTAAGTGATGCCTAATAGAAAGAATGTATTACCCGTAGTGTTCTGTAATCTGCACTGCTGTTAGAACTTGGTTACCTGATGTTTACAGCTCTCACTCTGCACAGTTTTAACCACTGGAGGTTCTCAAGCAAACAGGTCCCTGGAATAACATGGAAAAGATGGGATCATGACATTTTCCATTATGATTTCTACTCAACCCAAGCTTTAGTCTGACAGACTCTGGAACAGTCAATCTTTGGGGGCCCCTGCAAAGCCCATCATTTCCTCTCAGGTGTCTTGAGAAAGAGGGAATGAACAAGGTGGTTTATATCAGCGTTATCTTTGTATTGATGATTTCAACTAGGAGCAATCCATTCCATTTGAGATATGTTGTACACTGTATTTGTAATTTTGTATTTTTATTTGTCTAATAGTGCTCAGAACTACAGACAGGTACTGGAAATAACTAAATAACACAGGATTTAAACTAGAAGCAATAGAAACCTTAAAGTTATAAAGTATAGTGTTATCTTGTAGTAAATATTTCATGCCACCATTGTATGATTCCCAAATACATACACATCCTGAACAGAAGAACATTAAACAAATGATATAGTTTACGTATGTCAAAAATAACATGCTACAAATATTGTGTTTCCAACTAATAATCTCTGCAAACTGATTGGCTTTGTCAGTTCTTTTTAAATTATAAACTCAAACTGCAATATTTGTCAGGATGTGTATTATACTATATTATACATTAGCCAGTGAAGTAATATACTGAACCTGTAGCAAACAAACATATTTACTGAGTCAAAAGCAGCCAACAAACCTCCCAGAATCATAGTTATAAGTGATATACGTGACATTTGGTGAGGTCTGTAACAATCAGAATAAAGGATCCCACAAATTTATTTCAAGTGCATATCATGAGGTGTCTAAATTTAAAAAGTCGTGGCTACTGAAGAAGCAGCTGACAGTTATTCCTTGTGTAATGTATTTCAAAAACAACATAGCAGGATCACAGTGCATCCATACATTACATTCTCATTAGGAAGTGAGCAGGTGGGTTTCAGAGTACATGAAAGCATCACGCTCCTAGTAGGGGTAACCTTTCTTGTCCTCATTAGGATGAGTGATGACAGTAGAGAGAAATGAAGCATTTTCTATTTTTCCCCCCTCTTCACCAGCACAGTAACAATAATCACCAGAGGATCCTCTGCCATAGATGAATAGATCCACACTGGTTTCATGGTTTAGTTTGATAAGAAAAGAACTATCCCAGGCACATCCATCTTTCATTCAATTCAAGATTTTTTTTTAAAAAAGTTGCTTCTAATGTTGTTTTCAATCCACGTATTCATTATCCGACCTGTTCTTATATTAGTAATTCTGTTGCATTTTGTCTTTTCATTCTGTTATTCTTTCTACCACACTTTGTGATATAAATCAAACAGAATGCCATAAAAAACTGCATTGATTGGGATGTTTAACAGAACACCATTAATGATCCCATAGAGATTGAAAGCAACCTACAATGGGAAAGACCACTCTTGTCTAATAACACCTGGATGCCTGTAAATCAATGAGTCATTCCTAAGTAGACAGGAAGAGTTAATGATTGAGAACTCACAAATTTCACATTAGAGAAGTGGCTACCAATATTTCCCATGCCATGTACTCATGTCACAAAAGAGCAAGGGGACCCCCTCCTCTCATAATTTTAGGAGCCCCTCCAGCCTATCTATACGGTAAGGGATGGTGGTTGTGACTCCCCTCCCTTTCCAGATGACCCACAAGTTGAGAGCCTACAATTTAGAACAGCATTTTTAAAAGTTCGGGTCGCAACCCAGGACCGGATCGCAGCATGTAAGGCACAAGGTCGCTTTGGTCAGTTCCGCTGACCGGGACGTTAAAAGTCCCATCAGTGGTGCTGCCCAGCTAAGGCAGCCTAGTGCCTACCTGTTCTGACACTGCACTGCGCCCTGGAAGCAGCTAGCAGCGGTCCGGCTTCTAGGAAGGGGAGCCACAGGGCTCCAAGTGCTGCCCCCGCCCCGAGCACTGCCCCGAGCTCCCGGCCAGTGAGAGCTAGGGGTGGGCGGTGCCTGTGGGCAAGAGTCGTGCAGAACTGCTTGTGCGCCTCCACCTATGAGCTGGACTTGCTGCTTGCCACTTCCGGGGCTCAGCGCGGAAGGCAGTGCCAGAACAGGCAGAAAGCCTGCCTTAGCACCCACACTGCGCTGCTGACTGGGAGCTGCCGGAGGTAAGTCTGTGCCGCAACACTACACCCCTGCCCCAGCCCTGAGCCACCCCCCAAACCTGGAACCCCTTCCTGCACCCAAACCCCTCATCCCTAGCCCCCCTCCAGAGCCTGCACCCCCAGCCCAGAGCCCTAACCTCCTCCTGCACACCCACCTTGACTCAGCGCTGCTGACTGGGAGCTGCCGGAGGTAAGTCTGTGCCGCAACACTACACCCCTGCCCCAGCCCTGAGCCCCCCCCAAACCCAGAGCCCCTCCTGCACCCCAAACCCCTCATCCCTGGCCCCACCCCAGAGCCGGCACCCCAGCCAAAAGCCCTGACTCCTCCCCCCCTGCACCCTGAATCCCTCATTCTTGGCCCCATCCCGCAGCCCTCACCCCCCCACCTTAACCCTCTGTCCCAGCCCTGAGCCCCTTCCACACCCCAAACCCCTCATCCCCAGCTCCACTGGGTCGTGGGCATAAACAATTTCCTTCAGCTGGGTCCCCAGAAAAAAAGTTTGAAAACCACTGATTTAGAGGACAACTGGACTATCGAACCCTGATCCCCCTTCCACTCTCCGAACCCCTCATCCCCAGCCCTGAGATCCCCCTGCACCCTAAATCCCTCATCCCCAGACCCACCCCAAAGTCTGCACCCCCAGCCGTCCAGAGCCCTCACCCCCTGCCACACCCCAACCCCCTGCCCCAGCCCGGAGCCCCCTCCCACATCTCGAATCCCCGGCCCCAACACAGAGCTTGCCCCCACAGCCTGAGCCCTCACCCCCCTCCCCCGCAACCCAACTCCCCAACCCGGAGCCAGCCCAGTGAAAATGAGCGAGTGACTGAGGGTGGGGAGAGCGAGTGACAGAGGGAGGAGGGATGGAGTGAGCGGGGTTGGGCCTCAGAGAAGGAGTGGGGCACAGGACAGAGCAAGGGTGTTCAGTTTTGTGCGAGTATAAAGTTGGCAACCCTATCCAGGGGTGGGATGTATAGGGGTTTGAGCCAAGTTGTGTGGTTAGTAGTCACATAACTAGCAGAACTTGCTAAACATACCCTCCATTTGAGAAAAGGGGCAGTTTATTTCATTTAGGCTTCTTCTCTACTTGTTTGTCTGGCAGGCTGGAGTCAAGCAGTGGGTTGTAGAGGCATGCCAGGGTATGTGTACTTTCAGTGCTTCAGGAAGAAAAGGAAGCCAAGAATACAGCAGCTCAGCCCCCAAAGTCAGCCAGAATATCTGGCACAGAGCCAACTACCTTAAAGTGCAATTGCATCAGAAATGTAATTTTTAGCTTATGATTTAGTTTAGAAATGCTTTAGCCCCAAACATCTACCACAAGGAGGTTTGTCCATCCTGCCAGGAACTGTGGAGGCAAAACAAAACTGGCCAGTTCCTCAGATACCTACAAGCTGACTGATGATCTGTTAAAACTTCTGTTGACCTTGCTATACTAAAAATTAACCAGGGCAGGATGGAAAAAATGCCATGTTGCTTGAAAAATGTGTTTGGCACACATCACCACAAACAAACAAAAAAATGCAGAAAGGCAGGATATAGTATATACCTGAACACACATACATGAACACACACACCAGCTCTGAATATATGAATTTTATATACAGTGTTGCTCTTTTGTTGTAATGGAAACCCTTCTCAGGAATCCTAGAAAATGGTAATGAATTTTTTGTTTTCAAGGATAGCTATTTTCAACTCAAATAAAAATGTTTTCTTTTATTTACTAACAGCGGTAACAAAAGTAAATATTATCAAAACAATTTATATATAAAAAAATGTGAAAAATTAATTTCTACCAATTTAGAATGTCAAGTAGCTTGTCTAAAATTAATTTTTAGAAACATGAAATGCATTCAATAACAAGAACATAAAGCTATGCAGGAATCCTGAGTATCAATGTCTGAAAAATACACTTGCACAAACTTCCCTATTCGACTCACAGTCTTTTAGGCCAGAAGGGACCATCATGATCATCTAGTCTGACCTCTTCCACATCAAACATGATGAAACCTCACCCACTCCTGTGAGAAGCCCACAACCACTGTCTGAGTTAGTGAAGTCCTCAAATCTTGATTTAATGACTTCAAGTAACAGAGAATCCACCATTTATTTTAGTTCAAAGCTGCAAGTGACATGTGCCCAGTGCTGCAGAGGAAGGTGAAAACCCCTTAGGGGGGTTTAAACCATTGATTTCTGTAGAATGTGAGCTTTCCTTTAAAAAAAGGAAAACAAGTGTTATATAGCCCTACAATTGCGAAGATTACTTTCAGCTCATGCTTAGAAGGTTAACAGATGCAACACTGTCTTCCTGAGTATACTGACAGAGCTCTAGTGCTTTCACTGCAGCTCATATCTTCACCAAACATTAGCAAAGTGAAATTAACAGCACTTGCCAGTTTCACAGTTGTTCAAAAACCTGTGGGTGATGGTGAAACTGTCAATTTTATGCTGCTTTCTTTATCTGGGAAAGCCATGAGGCGGCATTAGAATTGTTCATGGAGAAAAACTGAGAACAGCAGGCTGTTGGGGAGTAGAGGGTACACCTTTTCTTCCTCCAGTCACTCCTCACTACAGTCACTGAAGGGTGGGAAGGGCAGCAGTGGCGGTGGAGCTTCACACTTATCAGACACCTACTAGCCTGAGACTAATACAAAAGAAAACACCTCCAAAGCAGGATCCTGAGGCCGGTGTGCTAACCTGGATCCAGCAACAGTTTCTGGTTGGAATCCCAGCACACTCGCTCCTCTCATCTGGTGAGGGTCGGCTTCTTATTAGGGTGTTACCCCTAAAATCCCCTGCACCCATCCCCATCCTTTATCTTTCCTATTTACATCTAGCTAGCAGGATTGTTCTTCTGGCTAATAGGTAGATTTTTCTATCCCTGCAAGATGAGGATATCATATAAATTTAAGAAAACAGTTCACCTATGGTGAGTTATGCTTTAATAAATACAAGTTTATGTAAATACAAGTTTATGTCCTGAAATGGAAGCAAGCACCTTATAATGTTAATCTTAGCACTGTACTACACTGTACTGTTTGGAAAGAAATGGCTAAGCAAACTGTGATTGAATCTGTTAGAGACACAACCTTGAGTTTCAGCTTCAATTTTGCAGTTGCATTAATATTAAAGGTAATAGTTCTAGCAAAATTTCTCCCTTTCTTATGGAAAAAATAAACTAATATAATTAACATAACCATATTTTACAGGTAATATTATGGTGATAGTATTGCAATCTGAACCCAGTATTCTTGTAAAACTTGGTTTTGTCAGATGCACGGGAGAAGAGGGACTTTTTAAACTCCATTTAAGCCTATTTCTACAATTTCCCAGCTGCCTAGTTTTCTGCATTTGTCATAAGAGACGAACAAAAATTACATTAAAAATCATAAACTACCACCTAGGGGAAAAGCTTGATAGAAAAGTGAACAGCGATATTGTTTAAACAAAAGCAAAATACACTCCAGTGCTACAGAGAAAATAGGCTAAAATTTTTATATGTACATTTTACACCCTAGCCCCCTTTAATAGATGCAATTTTCATGGATCTGAAGTGCAAAGCAGACCTCAAATGGCTGTCTCATATTATTCTTTTTTCTCATAATCTAATTCAATTGGTCACATCATGGGAATCCTGTATTCATAAATGTATTTGTTTAGCCGGAAAGGTTAAATGTCACATCTGTGATTGATAATGTTTGTTTTGTGCTCTGCTTTTCAATAACTCTTCACTTTAAGCAGTAGTTTGCCTCTAAACAAGAGTGGGTGTAAGGATACTCAGCATAATGGAATGGGCCAGGTTTAATTCCCTTAATCACTTGGTCAGGGCAACAGAATTAACCATCAACATCTGTTCACTTCGGAGTGCACGTGCCTAGTTCTCCCTCTTTTATGTAATAGAAGAGTACAGGGTCATTATGCTGTATCTAGTCTGCTTTTTCCAAGAATACTGAATCTACACAGAAAGCCCAAATAGACATCTGCACACTGATTGTGGACTGGCACAGGTTGATTCTGGACCACAAAGTACTGTAATGGTATGACAGGACCAATTTAATCAAGAATCGCAAGAATAACATTTCAGATACCATGCTGTATCTATCCCAGTTTTCCAATTAGGAAAAAGCAGAGCTGACCAGGAGCAGCTATACAAGGTACAATTAGTGCCAGGGGAAAAAAAGAAAGAAAAAGAAAAAGAAAAAGAAAAAGAAAAAGAAAGAACAGTTTGTTTAAAGAAAAAAAAGGAACATTTACTTAAGAGATAATGTCATTTGATTAGAGCATTGTCATTTGTGGTGGTTGAAATGTAAAAGGCTTGGTTGAATTGGCTGAGTATCTAAAACTTTAGATTATTGGAGCCAGCATATTGTAGGAAAGTGGAGGCAATCTGGAGAGCATGAGGTATTTATAAGGTCACTGGGAGAGAAACTCCAAGAGCTAGATCTGTTATACCAGTGTAAATCGAGAGGAACTCACTCAAAGTTAACAGAGTTTGGATTTATTACCAGTGTTACAGAGAAGAGAATCACATCTACAGTGCAGAAACTATTTTGTTGGGGTACCCAAATACATACAACACAGTAGTCCCAATCTGCCTAAGAATTTTTATTCCCCCCCCCTGCATCGTAATCTCTGAGCAGCTCACAATCTTCAATGTATTTAACTGCACAACCCTCTGATAGGTAGGGAAGTGCTATTATCCCCAATTTATAGAAGCTGAAGCACAGAGAGGCTAAATGACTTGCCCAGAGCAAGTGAGAGGCTAGTGTTCTAGCCACTGAATCATCCTTCCTCTTTGTATTCCACACTACAGTTAGGACACAGGTTGTTCTTACAGTGTAGATGAGACCATATGATGTTCTAATAATGTTCCCAATTTTTGTTACAGTTCTGCAAAGTTCAAGGCTGTAGTATGATTTAGGGAACACAAGTAATACACATTTAGTCTTATCTATATTAAGCCTGAACTCTGTTTCAATTATTTAGAGGGATTTCCATCTTGTAATCAGGCACGCCATTGGGCAGCGTAGATGAGACCTTAGTTGAACTTCTTAAGGGAAAGATTCCGCTCTCTATTATGCTTGCGTAAATCCACACTCTTCTAATACTAATGGAGCTACTCTGTAACACATCAGATCCTTTGAGTCTCCCAGTGAGTTTCCAATAGTTCATGTCTCCCATGTTGCACCTTTATTACAACACTTATAGACCCCAGCTCCCTTCTTCTAAACCATTGGCCTCCCTTTTTTGCTTCTGGAAGACTTCATTATGGGTTCCAACAGTTTATCTGCTGAGCTCCTGCCATTGCTTAATAAAAATTTCTTAGCTCCCTCCCAACCCACAATTCTCCATTCTGATGTGCTCTGAAGATCCCTGATAATTCAAATCTGGAGGATAGCAAATGTGATACCAATTTTTAGAAAAAGGCTCCAGCAGTGATCCCAGAAATTACAGGCCGGTAAGACTAACTTCAGTTCCAGGCAAACTAGTTGAAACTATAGTAAAGAACAGAATTATCAGCACATAGATGAACACAATGTGTTAGGGAAGAGTCAACATGGTTTATGTAAAGTGAAATCATGCCTCACAAATCTACTAGAATTATCTAAGGGGGTCAACAAGTATGTGAAAAAGAGTGATCCAGTGGATATAGTGTACTTAGATTTTCAGAAAGCCTTTGACAAGATCCTGCACCAAAGTCTTTTAAGCAAAGTAAGAGGGAACATCCTCTCCTTGATCAGTAACTGGTAAAAAGATAGGAAACAAAGGGTAGGAATAAATGGTCAGTTTTCAGAATGGAGAGAGGTAAAAGGTGGTGTACCTCAGGGGTCTGTACTGGGACCAGTACTGTTCAACATATTTATAAATGATCTGGAAAAGGGGGTAAACAGCAAGATGGCCAAATTTGCAGATGATACAAAATTACTCAAGATCGTTAAGTCCAAAGCAGACTGCGAAGATTTACAAAGGGATCTCACACAACTGGGTGACTAGGCAACAAAATGGCAAATGAAATTCAATGTTAATAAATGCAAAGTAATGCACATTGGAATATATAATCCCAACTATACATATAAAATGATTGGAGTCTAAATTAGCTGTTACCACTCAAGAAAGAGATCTTTTAGTCATTGTGGATAGTTCTCTGAAAACATCCACTCAATGTGCAGCAGCAGCAGTCAAAGGAGCTAACAGAATGTTCAGAATCATTAGGAAAGGGATAGATAATAAGACAGAAAAGATCATACTGCCTTTATATAAATCCATGGTATGCCCACATCTTGAATACTGCACGCAGATGTGGTCACCCCCTCTCAAAAAAGATATTTTTGAATTGGAAAAGGTACAGAAAAGGGCAACAAAAATGATTAGCGGTATGGAACTGCTTCCATATGAGGAAAGATTAATAAGACTGGGACTTTTGAAAAAGAGACGACAAAGTGAGGAGATGACAGAGGTCTATAAAATCATGACTAGTGTGGAAAAAGAAAATAAGGAAGTGTTATTTACTCCTTCTCATAACACAAGAACTAGGGGTCACCAAATGAAATTAATAGGCAGCAGGTTTAAAACAAACAAAAGGAAGTATTTCACAAAACACACAGTCAACCTTTGCCATAGGATATTGTGAAGGCCAAGACTATAACAGGGCTCAGAAAAGAACTAGATAAGTTCATGGAAGATAGGTCCATCAGTGATTATTAGCCAGGGTGGGAAGGAGTTCAAAATCATGCTCAGAAGTGTCCCTAGCCTCTGTTTGCTAGAAGCTGGGAATGGACGACAGGAGATGGATCACTTGATGAATACCTGTTCTGTTCTTTCCCTCTGAAGCACCTGGCATTGGCCACTGTCAGAAGACAGGCTACCGGGCTACATGGACCATTGATCTGACGCAGTATGGCCGTTCTTATGTTCTTATGTTCTCAAGTGTTCTGGAGCTATGAACCTCAGAATGCATGGCGTATCAGATATCTGTGTCACTTTCCTTGCCTGAAAACCAGTGAACTACTCCCTAGGCAAGATATGTGCAAATTTCCAAATGTTAATGGGATGAACTTTCTCATAACACTTCTAACAAAAACTAGGTTTGCTGGGAAATAAAATAAAATATCTACACATGACTAAATATAAAAGTGTCAAAAAAACCATAGGTTTCACATGTGAAAATTAACAAAATGAAAATAGATTATTTCAAAGCCTTCAGATTTAAATGTTTTGTTATTGGACCTGAGCATGCCACATTGAAAAGCCATTCACAACTGCATCCTCATCTGTATCCCCCCCCCCCCACTCCCTTTGAGTGGGACAAAAGTTGCAGCATGGGAATTAGATTGTATGCTCCTTGAGGCAGGGACTATTTTTGCTCTGTTTTTACAGCATGTAGCGCAATGGTTTCCTGGCCCATAACTAGTACTACAGTTATTTACTATAACTACTTATAGTTACTATAAGTTACTAGTAACTATAGTTACTAGTTACTACAGTATTACTGAAAAGAATAATTAGTGCTACAACAAACACCTATGAGTATCACAGGAAATTCTGCTGATTTGCTGTGGGACAATGATGTAGAGTAGCTGCATCTTATCTCAGGCCCCATCCATCCCTATGTGCCCAGGCAAATAATGAAGAGGAGTCACCAGGCAGGAGAAGAGTGATGATGATGCGTACCATTCACTCCCCTCCACCCCCATCTCCACCCTTAATTTCCCTGACATATTTGTCTTCTGCTTGGCTGTTTTACTTTACTCCATGTAGGGCAAGGAACTGTCTGACCTAATGAAACCTTGTATTCAGACAGATCTACGTATTTATATAGCACTAATCATCATGATATCCAGGCTGAGATTATTTATCAAATCAAAGCCCATTTTATCCCATAAATTTTTTATAATTGCACCTTATATCCTTTAAATCATACATATGGCAAACTATGGCCAATTTCTCCATGACATATTTTGCCTGATGTACAAATACTAGTGTATTTAATAATTAGTGTATCTTATCTATGCTTCTTCAAGCTATATTTTTCCATCTCGAGCTATAATGCATATAGAGGACCTACCATAATTTGCCCACATTTAAGTACAGCAAAGGACTGACAAAAATTGGTTGTTTAACAAGCCGCAGATTTTAGCCTTCTAAACGAAGGTAGAGTAGAACGGTACTTATTATATTTAGGACAGTCTCTTAAGACAGGAGGTTGCATAATAAGTGGGGGGTTGTCCGTTGACAAAGGTTTCACTGTACTATGTTTAGTGTACCATGTTTTACAATATGGGCTAATAGCTAATGGACAAATGTGCATGGGAGCACAGTGAGGGGATTTGAACAGAATAACATTTAAAATTGTAATTACTAGAGAACCATCAAGTTGTGCACATACATGTCATCATGACTATTGTTACCTTCCCCTTTCTCTCCTACTGTTGGCCACACTTACTTCTCATTTCCTTTTTTTTAATTAGGCTGAAAGCTCTTTGGTGCAAAAGAGACCACATCTCTGTGTATTTGTACAGAACGCAGGATAACTGGATCCAATCCTGTTTGGGACCTTTAAGTTCTACCACAATATACATGATAAATAGTAAATCATAACAAAGTTGTCACTTTTCTCACATCCAGGAACTTAAGAGGCATCAGGAATCTGGTTACACCCCTGTGAGGGCTACCCACACTGCTAGTTCATTCACAGGGAAATTCACAGTTCATTCGCAGGCTATGCACAGCCACTACTCCCTCCCACACAGGCAAGTGCAGAGGAGGGAAGCTGTGGGTGTACCTTTCTTTCCTCTCCCCCCAGTAAGGCACCCAGCACAACTGATCAAATGTGAAGATGGAAGTAATCTGCCTTTGGTATGGGGATCAGTAACACATTATTTTCCTCTACATGTATTTTAAAATGTGTCTCAGGTAGGTTTTGGTTTTTGTTGTTTGTCAAAAACAGAAAAACTTTATTAGAAAACTGCCTACTTTATTATTGTATTTTGAGTGACGACTTACTGCCTTTACACATTTTGTGCAGCGATAGACCAATCATCTCAAGAAAACAGCTTGAAAGAAGATCAGTCATACAAGTACAAGTATTCTCTTTGTTTAATGCTAAAGTAGACTTTACAAACTCTCTTCTCCAGTTCCCACTACAATAGAAGCCTGCACAGCTGAAAGAGAGATTCATCAATATACGTCCCCCAAACTCACTGGAGAGCCATGCCTGGAACATAGATATTTTGGTAAGAGAATTCATAAAGTGTTAACAAATAATTTATTTTAAAATATCTTTCTTCCACCAAAATAACATATATTTAGTAAATTCTCTTAGCTGTACATTTTTAAGGCACAGATCTAAAAATTCACTCTAATGGAAAGCCAGGCACACCCATGTGAACTCCAACAAATTTTCCTATTGTTAGAGGACCTCAAGCTGTTTCTTTAATAATTTGAATTTAAGCAATATTTTATGTAATATTTTGATTTTTGAGCAAATCGACTCGGTGATAAGGTTTAATAGATTGCAGTGCTTATACAATTACATGTAATGTATACAGTGATCATTTAATATGTACCTAAATCAATTTAGAATGCACAATATGCCCATCCACTAAGCCATTGCAGCTTTGCGGGATGCTCTTATCTACCTTAAAGTTCAACTTAGCATGCATAGTTCAAAGCTAATGTAGTCTTGAATAAATAAAGCTAACAAAGTTATACATCTTCAGTTAATAAAGCCATAGTAATAGTACCTTGTGTAAAATGCTGCTTTCAAAAAATGAATAAGAAAGTAAAGATAGCTCTGAATTTTGCTAACACAGCTTGATGAAAGCCTCTATTTTTCCCATGTGACATAAACACAGTTCTTGTAATACCATCCGTATCCCCTCGGATTCGGGTCAGATGCATCTTAAGAATTAACAAGGATGAATTTACACTTTGTACCAAAATTACTCCATTTACTACCATTAATGACCACAACAGTCTTGCAAGGGCAACTGTACTGTAAACCTTTCCTCACATACTGTAGAAAGCTACATATCTCCTTTCCAAAAGCCTTGATTTAAATGACATAATTACAACAATTTACTCCGTAGTTCCTTTCCTAGGCGTTGTTGTATCTTCCATATCATGCTCTAAAGTTGCTAAATTCAACTGAAGGCTGTACAACTGAAGTCAAATAATACAAATGATTTACCACTTTGCTAATCTGCCTGTATCTTGTGGCTATATAATCATAGCTGCAATCTCTAACAAGTTCAGAGTCAATCAGATAGCCTGGACTGGCTAAGATCTTTCAAGGCTCTCAGCTACTCTAAAATCTCAATGAGTTGTTTATGCTTCAGAAAGGTTCCATCAAGCGTGACCACAAAGGGCCCAATCCTGCAAGCTCACCACACGTTAGGCAACTGACTGTCTATGTGCTCAGATCCTGCAGGTCAGTTCCTAATAATTTTCCCCTGGAATGTTAGGAAGATAAACTGTAACCCAACGATTACACATTTTTATCTGTCTTTGGCCTCAAGACAGTGCATCTTTTGTGGTCAGGAAGGAAGTTTTCTGTAGATTTCTATTTGGTAAAATAACCAGATAACACACTAGAACCTTCGGTGTTTCCTTTGTTGACTATTGATCATTATATCATGCTTCTCTATTTCAAGGGTCTAACTATTTTAAATTAATTTTGCTCAATGTATACTATGTAATGTTTTTTGCATAACAGCCAAAATATGAATGTGTGTATACTTGCAGTTCAGTATTTTTTCTGAGGTTTTAGTTCAAATTACCAACTATAATGCAGAGACTAGAGACATGGTTTGTATTTCGCTATTTACAGGTGTAACTTAATTGACTTGAATTATTCCTGATTTTCCCTGGAGTGTCTTTAGCTGCACTAGTACGGCTAAAAATAGTAGTGTAGCTGCAGTGGCACAGGCTTCAGCAACGCGACTAGGTCCCAAAGGTCCATAGTGAGCTTGAATAGCCCACGCTGACGTATGACTGCCATATCTACACTATTTTTAGCCATGCTTGTCCACCCCAGCTGCATTCACACCTTGGACTGCAGTATATAGACATACAAAGTGAGGAGAGAATCAGGGCCAAAAAAGCTGACTTTGCATTCCTTGGTCAGGCAAAATTCCCAAGTCCTTAACATTCTCTTCTCAGTATGAGAATATAGGACTAGAGGAAATAGAGCATGCTGTAGTAATTTCCATTGCTCTTTTTAAAAAGTACTATTATGGGCCTTGAGGAGAGTCAAATATTAACAGGATAAAAAGGATCAAATGATATTGTATATAATGAAAACTGTTTGATATAGACTCAGAAAGCTGTTCACACTGTATGAATTAAAGTCGTACAAGCAAGAGAAGTTCTGTAAATTATAAACTTAGTAAGTAAAGCCAAAGCCAGCACAGCTCAAATGAATGGTTACAAACGGGTTTCCAAAGAGATTTGTCTGCAAGACAAAACCAAAAAGGTAATCAAATTCTAGCGAGCAACAGGCTGTATTCTGCAAACAGGTCTGTGTTTACTTTGCAAATTTTATATGACGTATGCAAGTATTCAGAATAAGAGAAATATCTGATTTTTTCAGATCTCTCTAAACATATGGCTGTGGGTGAGGTTAGATTTTCAAATAATGAGGAATACAATTGTGCATGTAAACTGACATTGTGCTTTCAAGTTTGATAACTGCACAGGCAAATGGACAAGCAAGCAAAGGGCAGAAATAGCGGTGAATCGAAAAGTGTCCTGTATCATTTCTCCCCCATTAAGTGATGCTGAATACAAAGGTCTTATCTTAACCTTGATCTGCACACAAGCCTCCTATCTCTACATAGGGCTTGTGTACGTGGGGGGAAAGCCCCTGGAGGAACATACTTGTTTCACATTAAGAATGCCTTTGTGCAGTTCAGATTTATTCACTTCGGAAGTGGATTAACCCAAACTGCAAAAAAGGCACTTAGTGTGGCATAAATGCCCACATGGAGAATTGGTGCAGATGTGCTTTAAATTCAAACCCACCCTACTTTACATTAACTTCCCCATGAATTCTCCATGTAGACAAGCCTTAAATCATCTGTGTAAGACCTGTTTAGTTGAACAGATAGCCCTAAATTTGTGGTCCCAGGCCACACAATTAAAAGGTAAATCAGCCCTCTCCACAGAATGAGTTTGACACAGCGAGTTTCATCAATATATGAAGGTAAACACACAGGTGGGGTGTGGGTGTGTGTGCACGCTTTTCACTGCACACAACATAGATCACCATAGCAATTGTGATTAATGTTGTCTGGGAATTAGCTATGCTGGATTGAAATATCAGGGTGCAAAAAGCTAATCCGATACATTATATGTATAATTAAGAAATGCATAGGTATCTGATTGTATAATTGCCTATTATAGGGTTTTTTCCATCTTCCACTCTACCATCTTTTACTGGCCACTATCAGACACAGAATTTCAAGCAAGATGGAACTTTTGTTTGGTCTAGTACGCCAACTCGCATATTGAGCACCATAATTACCAAAAAAACAAATAATAACTATTGCAATTACAAAGTACATAAAATACATAAGAACCAAACGCCATATTACATTATTTTCACACTGCTTGTCAGACACTACAAAATGCTACAATATCTCTCATGGTCTATTGTGTTCTGACACACACTGTGTTATGATGGGATAAAATGAAGATGATCACAACCGCTATATCAGGTGAAGTTGAAAAACCCCCCACTCCTACATTTACAAATCAGCAAAAATCATTCACTGGTTTCTCCAGAGAGAAAGCCTCCCAAGGAGTATCACAAATCCTCTTATAGGGCCAGATCTTTGGATACAGTCTTACAGACTTTCTATTGTAACCTGTGTACTTGGCTAAGGAAGGATCACCCCAAAATAAAGATGATCATGCTGTGGCACAGAGCTCATGTACAATCCTGTACGCCTCACACACTCCTGCTGTGCCAGATGCCAGTAAAAAAAGGCATAGTCAGGATGACCCTATGCTATGTCAACTGGGCTTGGTTTTCAGCCATTTGTGGCCATTACAAGCCAATGTAAGTATGTTAGAAAGACTTACAAATCACAGGTAGGAAGAAATGCACAGATCAGCACCATGATGAAGACATATCAAGTGGAAACATTAACACATCACTCACTGACATGTCCTCTGTTCATTTTAGGAGCACCCAAGGACTTGCCCTATATAATCCTCAACATTTGATGTTAACTAGGGATTTCTGATGTAGTTGAAATATATGCATAACCTCATTTGTAAAACCCCACGTCAGACACCTCCACATTAACTACATAAGGCAGATCAAGAACACAACATTGGTCCTTCTAAAGTCAGCTGCTAGTTACGTTGCCTAAACATTTTTCAGATAGTAGTACAGGACTTAACACTCATCGGGCCAAATTCATCCCTGTTGTATCATCTTCAATGGAATTATACCAGGGATGATTTAGATCCACTGCATAAAATAAAATGCCAGACTTTGCTCCAAACGTGCACCTTTTGGAGATATGCCACTGCAAACTGTGAAAGACAAGCAGAGTAAAGACACATTTTGGAAGATATCAGAAAAAGGAGACAATCAAGTTTTACAAAGAAATCTGGTCACAGATTTCAAAGACCGGCATGCATATCTGGTGTATGATAATTTGCCTCTGAAGCAATTAGCTCAAAAATTAGCGAGAATTTAACAAAAGGAGTCTTTCTTCCACATTAATTATTTCTTCTTTAATAATAAAAAAAATCAGAACAGTGAAGTAAAAGTAAAAATCAGATGATGAAATGAGTGGTCTCTGTGTATTCTTTAACCATTTAACCAAGAATGCAACTTTTGCATTAATTGATTCCAAAGACTTGAGGGCTACTAACAATATATTCCATTACACACTGGCCACAAGCAATATAAACCTCTGTATCCATCTCTAACAAGTCTTCTGAGGTCAAGTGTTACATGTATATATTAAAATATTTGCTTATTGTGAACTCCTTCAAAGTACTAACTCTCTTTTGCATTTTCTTACACTCTTGAAAGAATAATTTTGAAAGATTTACTGAACAGTAAATTATTCAAGTAGATTATTAGAACTCTTTGAATAATCTCTCTAGTCTACTAAACATTCAGCATTAAAGACAACATTAGCTATTTGTCCAATTACATATCAGTTCTTTCCATTTAGTTTAAACATACAAGCAGCTTGTGTAACACAAAACAGGAAACTGATTTTAAAATATGTTTTTTCATGTGAAAAGCTCACAAACTTGATATGCATTATTGAATTCAAAATCTGGATTAATAAAATAATTAAACTGACTCCTCTATTTTTTGTTCTTTTTCCCATGAGGCAAAGCTGTCTATACATGAGAATAAAACCTGTAACTGTGGAAAACTTTTCTGCAATTATAGCAATGGTCTTCTTGGTAAGTTAGACAACTAGTTGGACTACTAGACCTGCTCATAGATTTCATAGGACTAGAATATTAGAGGACTATCTTACCCTCCTTGATACTATTTCCTACTGAATTCTTATAATTTGAAGAAAATATTTGTATATATTTATCCTTCAAAGAATTAAATATGTCTAAAACAGGACCAGAAGGAATATAGCAGGAATTTTGTTCCATTTCTTGCAGAACAGCTGTTAAGCAGCTAAGACTTTATGGGCCTGATTTTCAACTGGACCTCAACCTGGACACTACTTTTCCTGGATATTCGCACTTCACACTGCTGATATGAGGAAAGGAAAAAAGCTGTACCACTTTCGTTTTTCCCACCCCCAATAATTTGAGACTAACTAAAAAAAAATGTTTTCTCTTTATCAATATTTACTTTCTATCACTCTATGAAATTATCACAGTGGTTGAATGCTGAATGAATCACGAGAGGAGAATGGAAGCATTTCAGAAAATTCTTAGCACATGGACCTAGAGGTTGTTTTGTTGAACTTTTTGATCTATAAATCAATTACTCATTCAACAACAGAATATGTATATTATATAACCTTTTATAACTGTGTATGCATTCCTTTATATTTAATATATTTATAATCCATAAAGGAATGCATACAGAGACATAAAATAATACATAATAATAAAACTACACTGTATAGCTAATGAAACTAGTTCATAATAAGAATCAATGTTTTGCAGAAATAATTTGTTATATGTTTATCTGATGGAAAATTCACAAATTCCAGATATTGCAAGTACAACTACTGCCCTGTAACTGATATAGATAAACATTTTCCAAATGCAAATAAGCAATTATTTCACAACTAAAAAAAATAAATAGCATTAATTTTTGTAAATTAAAGTAAGTGAATAACAAGACAAATCCCAAGAGGAGGAAATGTATTCATTCAGATTACTTGTAGAATGCAGAATGGCATAAATATAAAGGGAAGGGTAAACAGCTTTAAATCCCTCCTGGCCAGAGGAAAAAACCCTTTCACCTGTAAAGGGTTAAGAAGCTAAAACAACCTTGCTAGCACCTGACCAAAATGACCAATGAGGAGACATGTTACTTTCAAAGCTGGAGGGGGTGGGGGGGGAACAAAGGGTTCTCTCTGTCTGTGTGTTGTTTTTGCCGGGACCAGAGCAGGAATGCAGGTCAGAACTCCTGTAAAAAGTCACTAAGCAATCTAGTTAGATATGCATTAGATTCTGTATTGTTTAAATGGCTGATAAAATAAGTTGTGCTGGATGGAATGTATATTCCTGTTTTTGTGTCTTTTTGTAACTTAAGGTTTTGCCTAGAGGGATTCTCTATGTTTTGAATCTGATTACCCTGTAAGGTATTTACCATCCTGATTTTACAGAGGTGATTCTTTTACTTTTTCTTTAATTAAAATTCTTCTTTTAAGAACCTGATTGCTTTTTCATTGTTCTTTAAGATCCAAGGGTTTGGGTCTGTGTTCACAAATTGGTGAGGATTTTTATCAAGCCTTCCCCAGGAAAGGGGGTGTAGGGCTCGGGGGGATTTTGGGGGGAAAGACGTTTCCAAGTGGGCTCTTTCTCTGTTATATTTGTTAGACGCTTGGTAGTGACAGCAATGAAGTCCAGGGACAAAAGGTAAAATAGTTTGTACCTTGGGGAAGTTTTAACCTAAGCTGGTAAAAATAAGCTTAGGGGGTTTTTCATGCAGGTCCCCACATCTGTACCCTAGAGTTCAGAGTGGGGAAGGAACCTTGAGACAGGATAACAAACTAAAAGCCTGATCTTGCACCTACTCAAATCAATGGCAAAACTCCTTCTATAATTGTTAGATTATTAGTGTTCCAACAGTTACTGAAATTACTTACAAATAAGTTACCTTACTGAAAACTGAAACTTCAAAAAAAGTTGATATTTTTAATGATAGAGTAACACCATGCACTAATACAGTTGATTCCAACCTTTCCTTCTAATTTATGACTCGAAATGAAGAAAACATTTGAATCCCAAATAAGCTACATGCTTTATTGACATTTGCTACCTCTCTGTCATATGCACCACTTGAAAAATAAAGAAATTATTAAATTAATTTTTTTTTGCTGGCACATTAATACAGTCACTTTGGAACGTGCCCTAAGGTTTTTTGCAAAGACTATTAAGCTAACACGTACAAAGAGGGGGGAAAAAAACTTTCATACACAATCCTATTTCCACTGTCATACCCAGCCCTCCTTTAAGCCCAATCCAGTTTTCAGACTTTTACTCCTGATCACTTCATGTCAGCTAAAGAATTTCAACAGCTCTCTTCTTCGAGGTCGTAATAGACAGATGTGTTCTTTTAACAAATTCACAAAGCTATCTATAATGATCACAGCAGTGTCATTAGGAAATAAAGAAAACGATTTAACAAAAACTGAAAATTATTGCCAAGTTTGACACATGTTTTAAAACTAACGGTTCGGTAGCCATTTGCCATCTGACCTTCATTAGAATTTCTTCATTATCACGTTGCAAAATCTATTACATTACTGACTGAAGCTATTAGTCACAAGAAAACCACTGCAGTATTCCCCAAACCAGGGAATCGTTATCATTAATATTTCAAAGGACAGCATTAAAAGAGACAACATTCAATATTTTACTCTCTAATTCTACAGTAATTTATATGATAAAAGCACCTATGCAGGTTATACCAGGCTGAATAATTGGCTGAACATTCTGACATATCTTGTTTTCCAAAAGAGATGTCATTATATGTAATGGGGATTCCAACAAACTGCTCCATTGCATTAATGAAGTGTAGGGTGGGGACAGAAACATATTTACTTATTTTAAAACCTCTGCACTGGTGGAAAGTGCTCCATGGGCAGGGACACAGGGTATTCCTGATTAGATACCACAACACGGGCTTTTGTCTTATTCTTCATGCTCTTCTTTAATGTGCTCTGGATTGGATATCACAGCAAAGATTTCAGTTCTATCACCTCCTCTTCACAGTATTTGTTACTGGGGAGTAAATCATGGGAGGCTCCTCTGTGCCTATCCCTGCACCTGTGGAATGATGGTTTGTGAAAGAAGAACTTCCCTGCCCTAGCTTCATTTGCTATTAAAATTGCCCCCATACTATTTGGCAGGCACTATATGGTTGTGATTTACAGTGTCTGATGGTTCACAACATCTTGTTCCCCACCTACACACATATGGTTAAAACTTCAGCTGGGGAACTCCTGATCTTCCGGGAACATTATGATTTTCTACCAAATTTACAGAAGTGCTTAGAAAAATAGCAGACACCAACCTTGACAAAGCCCCAGCCCCAAAGAGTTTACAGACCAAAGAAATAAGGTTAGCTGAAGAAGAGGGACACAACATACAATCACCATGATCAGAGTGATTATGTGCATACAGTTTAATAGTTACAAGTTTGCTGATTATTTAAGTGAAACATGTGAGAGTCACTTAACCTCTCTCCACCAGTAAATCCCCCTTAGTGCCCCTTCCCATCCCTGCACCTATCCCCACTTTAAGTTCTTTTGTTCTCTACCATTCCCTCATTGAAATGCTTCCTCTACCAGAGCAATTCAATCATAAAATGAATAAATTAAATACGTAAGCAAATGGCTTCAGGCCAAATTTTCTGATATAAATTGGAGCAGCTACACTGATTTCCATGGAGTAGCTTCAGTCCATGCTAGTGCAGAATTTGGCCTTTAGTCACTAATTTTCTTGTAGAGGTCACAAAATATGTGGGTCTTAAAGAGGGGTTTCAAGTGAGAAGAGCTTCTGGCTTCGTGGAACAGCTCAGAAAGGATGCTATAAGTGCATGAGAGGCATGGAATAAAGTTCTGAAGCAGCTGTGGAAGAAAATCAGATGTCAAGGTGGCATCACTGGCAGACAAGGGACAGAATTAGAGACAAGGGCATATGCGTAAAGAGGGGCAGTTAGGTGAGGTCTAGAGGGCAAGGACAATAAATTTATATCTGATGCAGAGGACACAGGGAAGCGAGTGGAGGTATTTAAAGGAGAGGGAGAGATGGGGTAGGAAACATGGGTAAGGAACATTATCTTAGTTGCTCTGTTTTATATGGTCTGAAAGGAGCTCTGTGGGTACTGGAAAAGCCAGTGAGGAGGAAGTTACAACAATCAAGACAGCAAGTCCTGGGTGAGAGTTTTAATTGTGTGGACACAAATGAAACTGGATCTAGACAAACTGTGAATGAAGAAGCACAGAAATCTGTCACAATCTCTAATGGCCAGCAGATAACAGACATTTGAAAAATAAACTGTTGAAGGAAAATAGGTAGCACTATGGTAAAACATTTTCCGTTTCCCTAACAAAAGAATTTTTCATTAAGACACTGGATGCCATAGGATATCTTCACAGGGAGATCTGTTTTCTTGGAAAAAGAATATAGATGAACTTAAGACAGAGCCCAATTGTCAGTAAAGTCCTTTGGTAGTTTATGTAATCACCAGACAGCCTTAGTGCATCTCCCAGCTCCCACTAAAGTCAATAGGAGTCTCTCCATTGACCTTAGCACGCTTTGGACCAGGTCCTTAAAGAGGGCCAGTTTGATATCAGAGGCTGAGCAAGCTATCTTTGACATCTTTTGCAAAGAGGAATGAACAGGGAGAGATTTTCCCTGACATTCTTATCCCAGGAATAAGAGGAGTCCCATTATTTCACCTGACCTAAATGTCATTGTAGTTCAATGTTCCTGAGGCTTAAAGACAAAAAATGGTCATATTGTGCTCTCTGTTATCCTGAATTTTCTCTTGTGCAACTGAGAACAGAATATTACCCATGATATTTTGAAAAGTAACTAGTAAGCAGGCTGCATACTTACTGTATATTTCAAATGTAATGTAACTATTTTAGTTATTTCAAAAGACTCCTGTCCACAATAAGACTAATTTTAGGGGAAAAGACAGGTTCTATAATAAAGCTATTTATCTAAAATTAAAAACTGGATTAATTTTTCTTTTCTTCTTTCACTGCTAAGAGCTTTTCAAACTTCTATCATCTTCCAAAACATTTTCTAATTGAAATATTTCCATATAAATGTAGTGCTTGTGAATAGTGCAGTATTGGCACCCTTGACAGAATTATCTAGTACACTGCAGACAACAGTTCCACTTCCCAATACCACTCTGTTTGTATGCCTTAACCCTGATACAGAAGGAACTGCTTCATGGGTGGAAGAAGAAAGAAAAGGAGTACTTGTGGCACCTTAGAGACTAACCAATTTATTTGAGCATAAGCTTTCATGAGCTACAGCTCACTTCATCGGATGCATACTGTGGAAACTGCAGAAGACATTATATACACAGAGACCATGAAACAATACCTCCTCCCACCCCACTCTCCTGCTGGTAATAGCTTATCTAATGGGTGGAAGAGTAATTCAAGTTACTGATGATTCATTCTGCCGTCTCTCTGCTGAGGCTACTATGAGTGTACGTATTATGGTGGAGACACTTGACTGATATGAACTGAAAAAAAGAATCAACTTCATAGACACCCAATGTTGGGCCAGATGCCCCCTTTCCTTCCTGTGATGCAAAGGGAAGGGAAAGCACATTATTCAAGGTAAAAGAGGGGTCACTACCATTCTTAGGAGAGGAAGGAACAGCATGCATATGCCCTGGAATACGTGGAGTGGGGAGAATTCTGTGCCTCTGTGCAGTCATAGACCATGTTGCTTCTCCAGTCTGCGTGACCACTAATCCCTGTTGTCCAAGTGGAGGATAGGTTTTCATTGCATTAGTTTATCCCTTACCATGGGGTTCCCGATATAAGGAGTAAAGTTGTTCTTTTGTTTTTTAGTGGGGAAAAAATATACAGATTTAGCAATGAGCAAACAGACATGCTGTATAACTCCTAAGCAGGGAAGATGGAAATGTCTACAGTCTTTCCACAATAATTGTAGTGAAAATAAATCATGTCATTTTATATAGCTCTTAGCTATAATCTCTTGGTAATAGACACAAACAAGATATCACACAGAGGGAGAAAAAGCATCTAGTAGTCACACAAGTTCAACCAACAAGATAAATAGTAAACTACAAAAACTAAATTACTACTGTAGCTCTTTTCCCATCAATGTCAAGACTTTTTTGTAGGAAAGTAAGTGTTATCCACTCACACAGATCCATTCCAGGATCATGGCCTGAATTTGTATATCAACTTTCAGTTCAATGTAATTAGAAAATAAAAATATTTTAAAACCCTTACACATGAAGGGACACAGTATAATGTTCTTGAACAACAGACACATACAAAGATTCCTCAGAGCAATGGGAGTTCCTCATAGACAGTGAGGGATTAGCCCCCTTAAAGTTTTCAAAAACTCACTGCACAGAATACTGACTATAGGGCC